TTGTTTCGTTCCTTTTTAACTTTTTAACCATGGCTCCAGTCGTCAGCCTCGTAGCAGAAACGATCGACAACACCCTGGGTGCGGTGTTCTTGGGATTATTAAGTGCATGCTTGTGCGGTGTTTTTTCAATTTCCACGATAATCCACGCTTATCGTTTCCTCTAGTCTTTTCGGGGTAACAACTCTCCAAGCGTACTTCTACTTCCACAATTACCCCCGGGACACGATCGTCCACCGCCTATCAGTAGGCGTGTTATACCTCCTCGACACGGTCCACCTCGGGCTCACTATCCACGCCATGTATTTCTATATCGTCGCTAATCGCGGTAGGGGATTGGTGGAACCGGGTCCGGGAATCGTCTGGTCCATCAAGGTACTTTTTCCAGGATAACCAGGGCTCACGAGTACCGGAACTAACGATACTATTTTTGTTTCCCAGCTACAAGTAGCGATAATGGTCGTGATCATTCTCTTCGTGCAGAGGTATATCTCCAACTTCTATTTTCTCACAGACGATAGGATGTTGATTGCCGTTTCGCTTCAAGTCTTTACGCGCTCCGGATTTGGCTACTGAGTGGGTACCACCGCGGGTTCCTCCGGTACCTTGCGGCGCTGAGCGTCGCGGGTGGCTTTGGTATCGGCATAGGTCAGTGTGATAGTATGCTCCCCCCCCCCGCGTTAACTGCTCCCTGACTCGTCGTTTCAGCGCTAACATACGAAATGTACGGTACCCTTTTCAGTCGAGGGCAAACCGCTAATCAAGGGATGGTCATAGATACACAGCCGCAACATTCTCATCCCTCGTGTTCGATAACAAAGCTTGGGCGATGGAATCATCCCTGGCGGCCTCCACACTTATCGATTTCGTGCAGGCGTTCGCGATGTGCTATTATCTCCGCAAAAGCCGGGGCACAGAGTCCGAGTGAGTGTGCATCTGATGTGGTGGTTCCCCCCATATTTATTCCTGACATCAATCTAGTCTGAATTCGCGCATCTCCGCTGTGATGCAGTATACCCTCAGTTCGGGACTCGTCACGAGTGCTTGCTCGTTGGCCGTGTTGTTTACTGTAAGACCCTGATTGTTTCTCATGCTTAATCTTACCCAGTGGTTTTAGTACGTACTTTTGCCAAACACGCTCATATTCATCGCGCTGGAGTTTTTGCTGACAAGATGTATGGTTCTTTTCTACTTGATAACTAAATTCCTCCCAATGACCCTTTCATTTATAGTATATGTTGGCTCATTCTTGGCGATGCTCAACGCAAGGCAGTTCCCAATTCACGACCGCCAGGAACTCGATCCGGTTGCCTCATTGTCAATGCCGCCTCGTTTCAAGCACTCGAGTATTCACTCAAGCGTGCGTTCTAGCCTGAAACACTCGATTCGGCTTAAACATCTCAGCTCGGGCTCAAAGTCTTCGCCGAGTTCTGTGCGTTCTCCGTCCTTGTTTTTCTCATCAGTTCCACCTGACCCTAGAACGTACTACAGAGCGAAGCAGAATGCCAATGGGATATTGTTACGCCCGCTCCGCTACCTGCAAGGGTGCGAATGGGCGGACAAACGGTGAAAATGTCAATATTTTAGAATAATGTCGGGCTTGAAGGGGTTTTTTTACTTGGGTTGGGTAGTAGAATTTTTTGTATTATTTAGCAATCTTCTCTTTCGACGAAATGAGAACTGGGTTTTCATTCTATTCTGTGTAGCGCCGCGCGTATGAAACCGGGACAAGCATTCTCATGCCACTAGTGTCACAGGATTTTTATTCAGTTCATTTGCTCGCTCAAGGGCCCTGTCAAAAGATTTCTGTGGCCGTCGTTCTCCACTCCCCATACAGCTACTATTCGGGCTCCCATGGAATAAGGTTGTGCTGGCCAGTCATGTTTCGCCAACTTCAATTCGTTCGTTCCGGCGAATCAACGTCGTAGAATTACCTGCCGGTGAGAGGTCTATTCGCTTCTTGTCCCTAGCCTAGATTAGATCGGCTGATCCGCAAGGGAACGTACGCCCAATCCGCATGGGTGATCTAATCTAATCTCCGAGTCCAGGCCTTTTGATGACGGGCGCATTGGAACATTTTCGTTTGCTTCGATCCATCATCGAGTATACCCTCCCAGTCGTCTCGTCATCCCGTCCTGACCCTTTCGCCTTCTTCTGTGCATATAAATCGTCACTTTTTCACTTGTACTGCTAATCTTTACCCACCCTGGCTGGCCGAACACCCAAATTCATGGAGATTTTCAATCCCAAAATTCTCGATGCTTGCATTCGAGATGTTGCATACTGCCTTTCAGATAACCAGAAGGCGGATCTGTTGCTTTATGCAATGACGAGTCTCAAGTATACCAGGTGCGTGTTTCCTGGGAAATGCTTCAAGAACAGATTTGCCTAACTGCAACTCTGGCAGACATAAAGTCGTTATCGAAAACGCTATCCAGGCCTGCCTATCGATCCATGCACTGTCCCCATCCATCGTTGCCAAGGCTCGGATCCTACGTGCTCGTCTGCGCTTGGATGCCGGCTCTGTTATAGGCGCCCAAGAAGGTTCGTTACAGTGCTTATTCGTATCGGAATACCGCTCAACGTCGGTGCCCAGATCTCCACGCAGCTCTGCTAGCAGAACCCGATAATCCAGAAGCAACTGCACTGCTACACCAACGCTCTGTCGCCGTGGAGAAGGTGAGTACCCTCTCAGTTACGAACCCAGAGTAAATGACAAATTTAACCCCAGCTTCTCGCTCCCACGGGGCATCGGATCTCTAATGAAGTATGGCGCGAAATAGCCTTATTTCTTCCTCGCCGTGACTTGAAAACACTGCTCTCGGTGCCCCATCCTCTATCACGCGTAGCGTCCCAGCTTCTCTTCCGCAAGGTCGACCTCCACTTTGGTGAGAGGGAAGGAGGCGAGCCGTTCGACGAGGGAGAAGAGAGGGAATGGGAAAAAGAAAGAGACAGAGATCAACGGACGGCCGACATCCTCACCCGCGTCATTACCGACCCTTGCTTCGCCAGCGTCGTCCGCACTCTCCGGATATTCGCCACCGTCAACAGCCACAACTCGTTCCAGACAGGCATCCTGTCGAATGCTCTCCCGAAGATGATAAATCTGCGGAGGGTGCACATATCGTCGAGCGCCGACGGTGTGCTGCCGGTGCTCAAGATTCTGCAATCGTGTTCGCCCAAGCTGAATGGGCTCTCGCTGCATGTCCCTGACGGCCTGTTCGAGCTGAGCACCCTCACTTTGAACCATATCGCCAACTTTGCTTATCACGGTGGTGGCAGTGGCAACGGCGGGCCGCAGAACCCCCATGCGTTCCTCGCCCAGCACCGCTCGACACTGCGAACGCTCTCCCTGGAGAACCCAGCATGGGTCTTCCCCGCCGACGCCCTTTCCCTCCGGAACCTCACCCACATCCACTTCCTCGGACAGTTCCCCCTCAACAGCCAGGCCATCGGGACCATTCTCAGTCACGGCAGGCAACTCGAGTCGCTCTCCCTCACCTGCCTCCTCGACTGCGCCCCTTCGTCCCAATTCCGCGTCGCCCAAGGAGAGCTTCCCTTCCTCCGACACTTTGCCTTCTCAGTCCAGCAATGAACCGACGACTGACGGACCGCGACCTGTTCCCCTCCATCGCAGAGTTCCTGCGAGGCCGCGTCGACCTCCGCACACTCTCCCTCCTCGTCCCCGCCGAGCCTATCCAAAAAGCCGTCGGCTTCGATGCGTCAGTATGGGGCGTCCTACCCAGCCTCACCGGTCTCAAGGGACTTGGGATAACCTACCCGAGGGACCTCGCACCCGGGCTCGCAGCATGGCTCATCCCCCGGAGCGTCGTCAGCCTCACGCTGAACGGCCTCGTCGCCGGGATGCGCGATCTCCGCGTCGGGGTGCCCCCGGGTCTGCGCTTCGTCGGGCTCGACACGGGCGGGATGGGAACCGGCGAGGTCGCCGGTATCGTCGAGCAGGGGTTCCCCATGGTGCGCGTCGTGCGCGTCGCATCGACGTATTGGACCGTCCATAGGAAGAAGAAAAGCGGGAGGAAAGGCGAAGACGGCGGGTTTGAGCTCGAGAGGTGGCCTGTGAGGAGGGGGCGGTATCATGTCAGCGAGTGGCTCGAGTGGTTTGGCTGCGAGGACGCGTTGGGCGTCGAGGATATTTATGGCATCTGAGTGCATTGGGATTTGTTTTTTTTTACTGTACATGCTGTATCATTGGGACTTTTTGCGCCGTTAATCATAATCTATTTGTGGAACCATATCTAACTGTTGCCAACATCGTTTGGGTAGCGGCGTTTTCTCGGACGGATGTTATAAACTCGAAGAGTTTGTGGCGGAAAATCTTATGGCGATAATGATGCTCTTCGTTCTCTTGATGGGATTTTGATTGTGGCAATAGAATGGCACAAGGTCGCAATAATCATCAATTATCAGGGTTGTAGGCCCTTGCCGTTCTTATGATCGATCTTGTTCGCTGGTGTTATGCACGAGCGTAAATCTAAAGAAGGTAGATTAGTATACTTGTCAGCAATTTAATTACCTTTGCAAAGTAAACAAGTTGAGAGAAGATGAGGGCGAGTTCAAAGAACGTGAGAAGTAAGTTGAGGTTCGGCGCTGCTTAAGATCACTCGATTGATTGATGCGTAAAGCAAAAAGTAGATTAAAAAGCTATACAGGTGGAGTTTCTGATACACTCCTTCGTTCCGATTGCTAGAAGGTTCTGTTGACTCCTAGCGTGTCGAAGCTAGAGTCACTATGAGTACAAAGACTGCGGCGTACGCGCGCGCAGTTATCATTAAAGAGGAAGCATAGGTAAGTAGGAAGGCCTAAAAGGGATGACGAGGCATTGCCATAACAGCTGGTAAATGAATATTGAGGAAACGCCCTAGGGTTGCGGTGCCTAGTTGTTTGGCGCCCCGTCATGGTATGTTAGGGAGAAAATCATGATCTAGAAGGGACGAGTAAATTCGAGATTGCTCATAATCTATGAAGGGACACAAGTGAATTATGCATTAGTGGTGTAATGGTTAACATGTGGTCTTCCCATTCTAGTTTGGCCGTGTTCGGGGTTCGATTCCCCGCTAATGCATGTCGTGCCAGCCGTAGTTTCTTTTTTTTCCTTGTATTTACGGGAAGGATTTGCATCTGGATTCTTGACTCTTGAAAGCTTGAGTCTTCAAGCTTCGACCTTCAAAATCAAGTGGTTCAAATACATGGTTCAGGTTCATTGCGCCAATTGTATCCACGAGATTACAGTTAAATTCTTACCTTTATACTACATAATCGATAAATAACCCAAAACCGCAGAGTGTTTATTTATTCTACGGGCAACTCTCGATGCTGGCATGAGAATGAGCCCCGCAGTGTGCGGGAATGACCGCATGCAGCTGGGTCTGACCCGCCGGTAGCGAAGAAAGGATACGTCAATGCGGCGGTGGCGACAGACGCATGAAAGCATTACTAAAAAGGCCGTAGATGCGCAGTGTAAACCCCACAGCGCAGCACGAAAATCGCGGCGATCATGGATTCATGTTTGAAATGCGAGTATGAGAGAATCCTAGTACATTAGGCCCGAAAAATAAATATATAAAGTAGGTATAACGAGGGGCTTTGCATGAATAAGCGAGGGGGAGGTCCATCCAACAGCCATTTTCCTTCAATTGCGACGCGACATATCGAACAAACCCGGCAACTCTAGGCGAAAATAGACAAAGGGGAAAGGGTAGGCTAGAAGAGTACGCAGAGGGCACCACCAAAGCCGGCGACCAGCGCTGCACCCATGCCCATGAGAGCTCTCCATTCCACCAAGGCCGGCAATGCACCCGACACAGCCGCAAACGTCGTCACGAAACCCTGTGTTGGATTCGGCGATCCGCTGACCGTGACGGTGGAAGCGGCACTATCTGGCGTGGGAGTCGAACCAGACGTCGACGTAGCCGTGCTCGACGAATTGAGAACGCTAAATCGGGGGGAAGTCGTATACATCACCCCGTGTGTCGAATTGAGGAATAGCAGGAAATAGTCGTCGGCTGCCGGGATATCTTCGAGGTACACGTTTAATGACGACGGTGACGCTTTGTCCGCAGGGACTGGCGATGAAAAAAAATGAGGATCAGGGTTCGAAAAACACAACATGTGACGCACCAGTGCTGGCGATATAAGTCAACCCATCCTCGCTGAGCCTTGTCATCTCCACATCGAACGAATCGACTCCGTCCATCACGCCCTTCTCCCAGGATATCACATTCACAGCGCCGTTCCGCCATTGCGCATTTTCTGCTGGCGCCGTCACCACAAAGTACGCTGTCCCAAAACGTCAGAGAGAGAGAAAAACCCAGCAAGGCGGGGAAATACGCACCAGAGGCAGCGGTGGCGAAGACGAGGGGTATCGGTAAGACTTTTGATAGCCGCATGTTCGTTGTCGTCGTATAGAAGGGTATGGTGGGTCGATGGGAAAACAGAAAAAGGAAGTCGTGAATGAAGGAGCGACCGACGGGCGACTTGGGCTGCGACAGGCGGGCGCAGCAGTGGGCGGGATAGAGGCGAGGGAGAAAACAGGAGAAACGTGACAGATTGGATTGCCCCGACACTTTATTTGCTGATATTTGCGTTTCAGGGGGTTGACCTCCTAAGATGCCGATGACGTCGATTGGTATGCATCTTCCATCGGGGCCGCGAGATAAACATCTGCGCTCGACGTCGGCACGGAACTCGCAATTTGTGTGTTTCTTCACTCTTTCATGCAGGCGAGGTCATCTGGCGAAAATGCATCCGCGGCGAGCTGAGACCGGTGAAACATACGCTTGCCGTCGGCTGCTAGGTTCTGCAACGGCCAAATATTGATACCGACATCACGTCCGTCGCGCTCTTCTCGTCTTCTTTCTTATGTTTTGTTGCCATGATTTCTCAACCAAGTTTGCAACCATCTTTTTAGGCTTGTCTAGAGAACTCGCTTCCATTACTGTTCAAAGCTACCTCTGCTTGCATTCTTTACACTATCATTCGCGCTCGCGGTGTCCTTGCCCGCCGTTTCAACGGCCGCTGAGAGTGTGTTGCAGGCTCTCGTAAGTCTCCGGGGGGACTGATTCCGATGGACCCGTAGCTAGCAAATCATCCGAGTCGGAGACAATAACCTGAGGCTGAGACGCCTTTCCACATGACGACTTGCACAGTGTTCCTCGATAGTCTCGCTTATTCTTTCAACCTGAGGCTGAACCTTCCAACATTGCAGTTGGACCTTATAGAGTTGCCTTTCGTTGCCTCGGGCTTAGCTTCTGCAATCAAGGGCCTGGGGAGTCGCGCTCCCGTAACTTCAGCCAGCCGCAGGGGATTATCCATATCAATACAAAAGTCGACAACCACGCACTTTGAATAAGAGCTCTCACAATTCCTCGAGTTCGAATCTGAATCGAAGAATTAGCCTTTCAATGTGTATTCTTTTTCTGCTACTAGGTGGAAACTGGCGGGATCCAATCTCCCCTTTTCATGAGCAACGCTCGGCTTTCGTCGCACGTTCAAAGGTAGCACAGCGGCCCTAACGACATCCATTGTCAGGGCTCCTGACGCAACCAGACCATTCGGTGAGCATCAGTTCTCAACATCGAAAACAATTTGTCCAAAGCTGCAGTAGGGAATTGGACTAGGAGCAGAGCCAAAAAAAAACATAAGACAAGTAACCAAATTGGTCTTTTATCACACCGCTGGCACATTGTCAGTATATCTTCTGTGAGGACCATCCGCAGATTCGCAGTCATGTTCCGCGGTTCCAAAGATCCCATACTGCGAGCAATCGCGGCTTCTACACGAACAGCTACACCTGTACCTTCACGAATATGTTGGAGTCCCTTCGGAAGGAGACGCAGCATCAGGGAATTAAGAAACTCCTCACCTTAAACTCTATGCTTTCGCGTGAAGCCGCGAGTATACAGTCGCCCTAGAGCCCATCCATATCAATACAAGGTTAACCGACATGCGCTTCGTATAGTGGCTATCACAGTCAACAGGGTTCGAATCCCGCTCGAAACATCACGCTTAATGTTTGAATGCTTTTTCGTTACCGTGACAATGAAACTGACGTATCCGTTCTCCTCTTCTTGATTTAAGAACGCCCAGCCCTGGTAGTACGTACGATAGGACAAAGTTTTACAGCGATTCTATGGCTAGGGTGACTCTCGTTGCACGGTGCACCGAGGATAATTCCTTCAATTGACATTGAATGTAATTCATCTAGAGTCGCAGTAGGAGATCGGCCGTGTATCCAAGAAATCTAAGAATTAGACAAGCACCCATCTTGAACTTGTCAGTAGCTAAATAACAGTGCTAGTACTTACCATTTTCAAGATAGTTTGCCGGTAAAATGAGTACCGACTTACGTCGGTTGATAATTTGAAAATGTGAAATGGTACATTAAACTTGAAGCTTGAAGACTTGGATATCGAGCGCAAGTCATACTGGCAGTAAACGTCGCAAGGACTGTTGAATCTTGAAGTCAACTTGAAGTTGAATCTTGATTGGTGATCGGTAAATGCGGACCGAGGTCGGCCCGTCATTCAAACGAAAGTCACCTGATCGCAAATCGGCCCGAATTACTTCCTTGAAGAATTCCCCGAGGACTCGTCGCGGGTATTCAAGTGACCACATCTTCAGACAGGCGCTCTGCAGGCCTCAGTCGCCTCTATCAATCATCTACGCCAGTCCTTGATATTCTTTTTGTTTTCCTGCTGAGGGATCACTCATTTTGATGGATGATATGTGGCTAACCAAAATATCCGACGGAAAATACACGCTGAGACGCTTCTTTCGTCTCATTCCGCCGAAAGACCGCCACGGTCTTCGTACACTGTGCCATTTCGCTCACATTGCGCAGCGCAAAGCCTCCGCCTGGCCTTCTTCTTAGTTTATTCCCCCCTGGCCTTAGAACTACTTAGTGGGTTATCTGAACCTTTATCATGTCCGCCATCTTTAACCGGTTCTCCGAATTCATGGCACCTTCTTCTCCTTCTTTGTCCTGTTCAGTTCACGGAGCACATGTCTGTATAATTTCTTGGCCTACGCTTTACTGTAGCTCTTGGGCAGTGGCGAGGCTAACCATTCGCTGTCCAGCACTGCCAAGATTCCTGCATCCTATCTGTTCCATCCATTCGGGTTATAAAAATTCCGCGAGAACTAGAAAGCTTTTCATGGAAGTGAACACTAGTTTGGCTTCGTCCTGACTCTTGGAATTATAAACGCTCGCGGACTTCCGGATTAGTTCGTATTTTTCTGAGACGCTCTGCGAGACTCGAGTATTCACGTCACCGCTAAGACTAGTCCTTAGTTACGGAATGCTTTCCTCTTCGCTCGCACTTGCCTCTGCTGGAGTGTAGGGTCGTCGCGTAGATGAAGTTACAATCCCCGTATAGGGCTTTGTACTCTTCCAGTCGTCAGTTTACTTTATCCTACTTCTTTCTTCTGATTTCCCTGATACGGTACAGTTTCAGAAACCCTAGTGATAAAGTTTGTTTTCCCTATAGAGGTACTCATCAACCGTAAATCATTCGAGTTGATGACGTTCACCCTTTGGTCAGGATTCGCCAACCCCCCCACATGCGTTATCATAATCATGATCATCAGCCCGCTGTAGGATCATGATAGTACGATATTTCTCCGTGTCTGCCCCACAGTCTAGCTCCGACTCTGCTGGGCGACGACAGGTAGCTCTTTCAAGTCCCATCCGAATGGAACGTCGAAAGGAAGTAATAACCATTGTCCTCCACTTTATTGGCTGACCCTCTATCTAATTTCTTTCAACAAAAGGGCAGCTCAACCTCATAAACACGCTCTCGCGGATCCATCAGAACACATCGAAGCCGCACTCCGTCCGTCGACCACTCGTGGCAATAACAATATCCTATATTTCCCATGTCCTGCGCTCATCGTATAAGGACGACCCCACATCGTACGAGCTCTAGTGCGGTGTCAACATGTCTTACCACCTTCCGTCTCTTGGAAAGACGCTCGGAGCCGTATACATCGGCGCAATGCTCTCTTCCATGTGAGTCCTCTGCTGCACCGGCTACCTCGGCTGACGCTCTCATCGGCAGCTTACTC